GTTGAAGCAACACATGCTTATGGTGGACCAGCAGCAGTACAACGATTTGCTAGTGAAGTTGCCCGTGTACTTCGTCCAAATGGATATTTTCTTTGGTGTGACTTATGTCACATAGACGGATCAAAGACATCAATTGATTATTTAACAGCAAATGGTAAACTGATTGTTGAAGAAAAGATCAATATTACAAAGAATATTCTCCATGCACTTGACATTCAAAGTAACACTCGTGCCGAATTTATTGAACGTTATGTTCGACCAAGAGAACAAGAATATTTTCGTTTGTTTGCTGGATTACCTGGTACTCAGATGTACAATGGCATGTACGAAGGAAGTATACAGTATTGGCGAGCTGTATTTCGAAAGAAAACAACAACTATACCTATCATTTAAAACCAAATTTTGACTTGACATTATAAACATTTTTTTTTTTCTCAAACTAACCATACTTACTCCATAGTTTTACATTTCTTGAATTTACACTAATGTTTTATTTTTATTTCGTAGCAAATCTAACGTAGAAACTAATTGTTTTTTAAAATTCCATCTTAAGAGTGTGAGCGGGTCGGTGTCTAGCATCTCTGAACCCGCTCACACTCTGATCCACACTCACACTCTTAGATTTTATTTTATATAATAATATTTATTCTAGATATAAAACTCTATTATATTAATCCAGAAAATCAATATTTAAACAAACAATACTAATGTCAATTATAAATAATAATACATCATCAGAAGCAATAGCTTTAATTGGTATATCCTGTGAATTTGCAGGTGATATTCATTCACCAAATGATTTATGGGACACACTAAAAGGAAGTCGTGATGTTGGTAGTACAACACCAATTGATCGATTTGATCTTGAATCATTTACTGCTCATATGATTAATATGGATAATGATGGACAACTTCGTCAAAAACTTCTTCGTGCTGGTTATTTTATGTCAAACCAACAATGGGATATGTTTGAACCAAGTTTTTTTGATTTATCAGATGCTGAAGCAGGCAGTGTTGATCCATGTCATCGATTACTTATGTTAAAATTTGTTCATTTACTTGATGATGCTGGATATAGCGTTGAAAAAATCAATGGTACAAAAACATCAGTACATATTGGACAATTTTCAACAGATCATGCAACCGCAACAACTCGTATGAGACCTGAACATCGATCAAGATTTCATGGACCTAATAGTTTATTATATAATGCTTCAACTCGATTATCGTATCATTTTAATTTACATGGTCCAAATGTCTCATTAGATGTTGCTTGTTCATCATCTTTGGAAGCTTTACATATGGCTGTACAATGTCTTCGTACAAATGAAGCCGATATGGCTGTATGTGGTGGTGTTAATGGAATTTTTGCACCGGAAAATTTTCTACAAAGTTCACTTATTGGTGCACAATCACCTGACGGAAGAAGTCGATCATTTAGTGCTGATGCTAATGGTTATGCTAAAGGTAAAAATTTCAATTGATTAGTTTTTATTTGAAATTAAATCTAAATTGTCTAGGCGATGGTCTTGGTCTTTTATTATTAAAACGATTAAGTGATGCTGAACGTGATGGAGATCGTATATATTGTGTTATTCGTGATGTACTTAGTGGCCATGATGGAAACGAAGATAAACTAAATTTTGTCGTTCCATCAGCTGCTGGACAAGGACGTTTATTAGCAAATATTTATTCAAGAAATAATTTTGATACTCGAAAAATCTTATTTGTAGAAGCACATGGTACAGGGACACCAGTTGGTGATCCAATTGAAGCCAATTGTTTAGGTCGATTTTTTAATCGATCAAATCTTGATCCACCATTATTATTAGGTTCAATTAAAAGTAATTTAGGACATACAGAAGGTGCAGCTGGTGTAGCATCACTTATTAAAGTTGCTATGTGTATGTATCATCGTGGTATTACAGCAAATATGCAATTTACTTCACTTAATCCAAAAATAGAAGCACAAAAATATAATCTACATGTTGTTCAAAATTTTATACCATTTCCATCTCTTCCAAATAATGAAAAAATAGCTATAGGTGTTAATTCATTTGGAATGGGTGGTACAACGACACATGCTATTATTGAAGAATATCAACCAAATAAAAAAACATCAATTACAAATGGTCATATCAATGGATATCACAATAAAAGTAAACAATATTTCACTTTTATTTTTTCAAGTAAGTTCTTAATTTTTTTCATTAATAAATACTCTATTTCTTCATCTTATTCAGCAAAAAGTCGTCAATCTCTTAATAATCAATTAATTGAATTCAATCGTTGGTTAGAGACAAAACCAATTAATGATATAGATGATGATGATGATGATCAAGCTTTTCTTCAACGTATATCTCAACAACTTCTTCTTAAAAGAACTATTAGTTATACACATTCAGCAATCTTTGTTTTTCTCAATCGTCAACAATTACAAGAACAAATCAATGCTTTTCTTACTGAACAAGCATCACCAGGCCTTTCAATCATATCACGTCCAACAAAACCATTAGCACAGAAAATATGTTTTGTTTTTAGTGGTCAAGGTCCACAATGGTGGTCTATGGGTAGACAATTATATGAAAGTGAACCTTTATTTAATGAATGGATTAATTTAATTGATGGAGAAATGACAAAAATTAATAAGGGTGAATGGAGATTATTGGAAGAATTAATTGAAAAGAAAAATGAACAAGAATCTCGTATTAATGATACAAATATTGCTCAACCAACATTATTTGCTATACAAGTTGCATTAGCTGCTTTACTTGTTTCATGGAATATTTATCCATCAACTATTATATCACATAGTGCTGGTGATCAAGCAGCTGCTTTTGTTGCTGGTCGTTTAAGTTTAGAAGAAGCTGTTCGTGTTGTTTATCATCGATCACGTCTTCAAAATCGTAATACACGACAAGGTGGTCGTATGTTAGCTGTTTCAATGAGTGAAGAAGAAGTACAAAACAAACTTCTGAAAGGTATTGAACATTTGGCTTGTATTGCTGTTATTAATAGTCCTTGCTCAGTAACAATAAGTGGTGATGAAAAAACTATTGATGAAATACAACAAATTCTTTCCATATCTTATCCTAATGTATTTAAAGCACGTCTTCGTATTGAAAATGCATTTCATTCATATCAAATGAATCGATTTGATATTGAAAAAGAAATGCTTTCCTCATTGAAAGATATTCAAGGACTTCCAATACAAGATCAAAAACAAATCTTCAATCCGATATGTGCAAAAGCAGAACTTTATTCAAGTGTTATTGGTGAGCAAATGAATGATAATATACCGGTTAATGGTCAATATTGGTGGTCAAATGTGCGACAAGCTGTGAGATTTTATGATGCTATAGCAGCAATCATAAAAGATGAAGTAGCAAATGTTTTTCTTGAAATTTCACCACATCCAGTTTTAGGTACATCTATTCGTGAATGTTATGAATTAACAAATCAACAACAATCACCACTTATTCTTCCAACATTAAAACGAAAAGAAAATGAACAAATAACATTACTTACTAGTCTAGCACAACTTACAACATCATCTCATGTATGGCAACAATATTTTCATACTCGTCAAATTTTACCTATGAAAAATCATGAAGAATATTTCGATAATTTTCCATTATATAAATTTCATTTGAGTCCATGTTGGTATGAATCAAAAGATTCATCTATACAACGTTTAGCTAATCGTATACCGACTCATCCATTACTTGGTATTCGTCAATTCAATGATCAAACATGTGCAACATGGAAAAGTCTTATTAATATTAATTCAGCACAACATGCTTTTTTGAAAGATCATAAAATTCAAGATGCAATTCTTTTTCCAGCAGTTGTTTATCTTGAACTTGCAACAGCTGCTTGTCAACAATTACTTTCATCAAAAGAAAATGATCAACAACAACAACCAACAATTATTTTTGAAGATATTAATTTTACTAAAGCACTTATTCTTAATGAACATGAATTAACAGAAGTATTTACACAAGTAATTATGCCAATGCGTGAATGGTATATTTATAGTCGACCATGGTCAACAGCTGGTCCAGATTGTATGCGACCATCAGGTATGACTTGTACTGATGTTGTTGAATCTTTTCGTGATCAAGATAATCTTAATAAATATTCATTAAATCAGTTTACTTTACATGCTCGAGGTAAAATTGAAATAGATTTTAAAGAACAAAAACCATTAACAATACCTCCTATTAATACAATTAATGATACATGGTCAACACAAGATATAGCAAGTGCTTATGCACATCTTTCAACACGAGGTTATCAATATGGATCTAGTTTTCAGAAAATCAAAACATTACGTGGTACTTCAACTACAGCTATATCTGAATTATCGAATGATGACGATACTGATTGTTCATCTTTTTATTTACTTCATCCATCTGTAATGGATTCATCTTTTCATCCATTTCTAGTTATATTACCAGGTATTGAAACAACATTTCTTCCAGTACATATTCAAAAATTTATTTATTCAAGTAAAACAAAAGCAAAGATGAATCAATCAACAAATGTTGAAGTACGTGGAAAGTATCATGATAATATATGTGGTATAGCTCAACAAGGAACATATAGTCTTGATTTATGGACATTTCCAATGGATAATAAAATCGAAGAACCAATATTTACATTTGAAGGTGCTGTTATTCAACAAGTTCAAGGTGCACATTCTGGTCGATGGTCAATGGAACAAACAATTTATGATAAATTAAATCTAACAACTGATTTACCTAATACTGATCATAAAACATATTTAGATACAATTGTAAAAGATTATTGTATGAAAAGAGTATGGACTGATTCACCAATAATAAAAGATATATCGCATTTACTTCCATCACCTAATCAAATTCTTAATAATGAACTTAAGTCTATTAGTAATCAAGATTTAATTGAATCACTCGAACCATTTAATGAATTAGCTGCTTATTATGCTCAAATGGCAATTAAAGATCTCAATTTAAATCAACAACATCATCCATTATTAAATGCATGTCGTTCTCTTGCTTCAACTTTACATTCAGAACAAGTAACATGGCATTCAACACAACTTCGTCTTATTCAATTAATTGAAGGTTTTCCTCGTTTAAAACCATTTTTAATAACATTAAACAAATATGGTTCACATTTAAAAGATATTCTTAGTGGAGAAAAAAATGGATCAGATATATTTCTTGGTGATGATGAAATTGGACAAACTTATCAACAAATTAAAACTCTTATAAGTGCAACTAAAACACAACAAATTTTTCATTCGATTTGTCAGCATTTACAACTACAATATGAACAAACTAAAGATGATTCATTTCAGAATTATCGATTACGTACGTTATGGTTAACTGATAGTGATTGTTCAGATG